CAGGCTTCTCCACAAGTTTCCCCCCGAAGTCCAGGAGGAGTGCTGTGTGCAGCTCCTGGGCACGGGTTTGCTCGTTTACCCCGAAGAAAGGGTGTACCTGGCGGCTGAAGCGCAGCCCGGGGGCGCGCTGGGCAGCGGGGAGAAAGGGGACGACCCGGAGCTGCCGGTGGGAGTTAAATCAGGTGAGTGCTCTGCCCCCTCCCGAGACATGATTGGGACGCGGATATATTCTATAAAGGGCATCCAGTAATAAAAATACACACAACCCAAACGTACATATATGTGTAATGTCCTGTCCCGATCTTTGTATTTCCCCTAGGAAAGTGTCAACTAGAAATTCTAAGGAGTTTTACATAGCTCTCCTCCCAACCCGCTATAGGCCACCCCATTTGATGCCAGGGTACATTTAGAAGCTACTGAATTGATTTTATATTCTGATTATCGTCTTTTTAACTTATAATCAGAAATGCATTTAAGCAACGGTAACTTTTCCTCTGAAGAAGAGGATGCGGACAATCACGACAGCAAAATCAAAGCAACCGATCCACACCTCTCTCAGAAGAAAACCATCACACAGATTATGAAGGATAAAAAGAAACAGACTCAGCTCACTCTGCAGTGGTAAGACTGGCCCACAGGGGTACCCTTAAGCACCTTTTGAATTTTTAAGTCAGTATTTTCAGATTCTATGCTTTTCTCAATTTGCTTCTCCTTCATACTTTTTGGGGGAAAATTTAGCAGAGCAATTAGAAATTTATTCAAAAATTGTTTTCACAGACTGTTTGGTACAGAGACATATTCTAGTACTGATGAAAAATGATCTGCAATACACTTTGTTCATTATTGACTAAAACTATAATTTCTTCAAATGTAAGCAATAAGGAATGTTTTTATGGACTTATTTGCTTAATCTGCAATCAGTTCAGTCCTTACATATTTATTATTTGGTAGTGTTATGTTTATAAAACTTGGTTCTTAAAAACAAAAGGAGGAAGGATCTTAACAGTACCTTTATCCATAGAAGGCATATTAAAAATTGTGTATTGGCCATGTGTTTGAGCTAGATGAAATGTGTTTGAACTTGAAGACAGAAAAGTCAGTTAGGATGTTGCTATTATTTTAAATAAATGTTCAACTAATTTTATAGTACCAGTCATATATGATGTATTATAGTGATATTTCACTAACTGGATTTTATGGAAAATCTTTTAAAACCAAGAGTTTATCGGTAATCTCTCTACATATACAGAACATTTTGTAATATTGTTCTAAAAGGAAGAGGAATCTAAAGTAAAAACATAATATTAAACTTACTTACATTGTGTGAAGAAATAGAAATTTAAATTTCCTTCCAAATTCCAAATAACATGCAAATAAGGTAAAAGATCTATTTACTGATTAGTTACATAATCTGTTTATATGTAAATTATGATATAAACTTTAGAAGAATATAGTAGAAAAAATAGTGTCTTTAAAAAAACTAGTACATTTTATTTTAACATTGAGTTACAATTTGCATATACTACATTTTTGTGTTTATGTCCTTAACTCTTTCAAATACTTGAAATATAAACTAAATATTCTAAAGTCATGGCTTAACTGTTGAAGTTGATATCACATTTACTGGTTAAGAACACACTAGAGCAGTAAGTGATTGAGCCAATTATCTGAAATATTTAGGATACAACTATATTCATTAGGATAATTGGAGCAAAAGGTTTTGATTTCAGAGATATTGTGGTTTTTTGAATGATCACATTTATTATTCAGTTTTGAATGGAAACAAACTTGGGTTTTCATTTTATAAATGCTTAGAATTAAAGGAAAAAAATCATACATAAAATTATGCTTATGTCTAGGATTATTCAGTTGTTTGAAGACAAAGACAGTGCCTACATCAAAATAGCCAGGTGAAAAGTAGGCATTATTACATGTGTCATTAAAATATAATTTTAAATAGTTGAATATTTCTTAATAATTTTCATATTCTTGAAACTATAAAGTGTTGTTCTTTTTGTTTGAATTTTCCACACTCTCTCCTAAAAAAGTATTATAATTTTTTTAAAAAACCTAAGTGAGTTATTTATATTAATGATAATTTTCCCTTAACGTTGTAGATTATGGTGGGGATGTTAAAAGATAGAATTGAAAATGAAAATGAAAATTTAAAATCTGCTTGAGTAATTTCAGTTTTCAACTAGGTGTTTGCATTTATGTATGCAAGTTTTACCTGGCTTTGGTTCTTTTTGTCCCTCTATCATAGAAAAATGGATCCTTTACCTGCTTAGGAGATGTGTCCTGAAGCTTTTATCTCATGCACTTTTGGACCTGTTAAATCAGAAGTCTTGAGGAGTTCCACTCAATTTTAATCTGAATTCATATTCTATATTGTGTTGTTCTTACATAGTAATGATTATGATTTTACTATACATAAAAAGGTATAAGTAAATTTTAACCAAAATCATACTGAAATGTTAGAAAAATTAGGAGTAAAATCTACAAGTTCTGATTTCTTGATTGCTGTTCAGATGTTTATAACACTTAAGTATATGTTATTACATCTCCATAAATTGTGTTTAATTGCAATTGAAGACATCCAAATTAAATAGAATTACCTCTAAATCTTCAAAGTTTATATAATTATGTATGAAATATAGAGCTGACTTTATATATATTTGAAGACATCTATATTTCAAGTGTACAGGATCTTTTAGGCAATTATTACAGAACTGATTACAGCAGAAAGGTGTAAGGATAGAAATAGATCACTACCATTTCAGACTCCAGTGAAGTGAATTTATGTATTTTGCAAATAAATGCATTACCATGCTTCCGTAACTATTCGTGGTTCAGAACTAGTTTGAGTGAAACTAGGAGATTGTAGGCATTTGCCAAACTGAAGCCTGGCAGCCCTTTAGAATTGAGAATGTTATTTTTAAAACCCGTCACCTTCAATTTCACTGTTCATATTTGTATATCACAGAACAAACCGTGATGAACAATGAGGATTTACACAGAAGTAAGACCTATTCTTTGGGATATGGACCAGGCAGGAGTGGTTTTAGCTTAGCCACAGTATTTTAATTGTGCTAGCAGGTGTTCATTGGAGTTCTTGCTCTTCTAATTTTAATCCTTGTGGTCTGATTTTTAATAATATCCAGAATAAAATAAGTCTACTCTTGTCTGCTCATGATCTCATTCATATAGTCTGTATTCAAAAGGAGCACTAAATCAATGAGAGGGGAGAAAGGGAGGAAATAAAGGAAAAGTTTGACCTAAATTTTTGCCCTTTTTCTTAGGCTTGAAGAGAACTACATTGTATGTGAAGGAGTTTGCTTACCCCGGTGCATCCTTTATGCACACTATTTAGATTTCTGCAGGAAAGAGAAATTGGAACCAGCCTGTGCAGCCACCTTTGGAAAGGTAAATGGCACATATTGGCTATACCACCTTACAACTGAAGTCACAGTATGGAAACAGATTCACCTGAGCAAGTTTTCTTACAGATTATTAAGAAATCTAGTTTGTAAGTGAAACATCTTAAGGGTTGTATTTGGAACTATTATGTGTTTTACCTTGATTTTCCCTACTATTTGTTTTACCTTGAACTACTATATGTATTGAATATTAGAACCCTAACTAATCAGAAACTTCTTTTGAGCAGTAATATTTCCCTTCTACGAGGGACACATTAAAGAGTATGTTATAGTCTGTACTGAGAAGCAAAATTACGTGGAGGTGACAAGTATCTTGTTGATGTAATTGGTGATTGTGTTTATTCTGTTTCATCAATTGCTCTCCTAATTCTCCATTTCACTTTGTGTATATTTATACCCTAAACTCCAAGATGTTGTGATGAGACTGGTTGAATTTCTCTCATTTAAAAAACTTCTTACCCACCCTGTATGGTTAGGATGGGAATCTATGTATTGACACTTACTGTACTTATACATGTTGATTTCATTTGGAGAATCAGGAAACAATATCAATCTCTTGGGAAAACCTTGTCCTTTGAGAATCTTGTCCTACTCTATTGTCTAAGAACCTCGGATATCCCAGAAAAACTGTAGGAAGCTTAGATTTAAAATATTGCCTCTCTTACGAACTGAAATCCAAATTCTAACCTGTAGAGGGACTCATTGTCTAGAAAATAATGATTACTATGGTCTGGCGTCTCTAGTTTTTTTTTTTTTTTTAATAAAATTATTTATTTATTTATTTTGGGAACCTATTTATTTATAGGACACAGTGTGGTAAATGCATGGTAACCCAGTGTTTTAGGTTCTAGCCTAGACTCTAATTTGTTGTGACATCTGAAAAGCACTTAACCTCCTCAAAACTCAGTTTGCTTGTTCTATAAAATGAGGAGATTGCATAAGACAACTTCTAATATCCATTTTGGCTTTAATATTTTATTAGTCTACCTTATGGCAGTAATACTTAAATTGACTCTGCGGAGTCATGAAACACCTTGAGACTCTTACTAAAAACTACAGAACCAGTTCCCAAGAAATAAACACATACATAACGTTTGCCATGGAGCCTTTAGGAGATCGTATATGGATCTCCCAAAATGCAGGTTAAAACTCCTGTTCTAAGTAGAAGAGATTTTTGTTCTTTAATCAGATGTTAATTTTTAGCCAACTTAGAGAAAGAAACATAGAAAAGAAAAAATTTCAAACACTGCTGTGGCTATCTGGTAAGGCAGAGAAACTTGCAGGATTGGAGACAGATATTTAATTGTGGATCAGTATCACATAGAATTATTATAAAGAAGCCCAAATATTCCTACAAGGTACGTCAATAAAGTAACAATTGCATTGGTAGTAGCATCAGGCAAGAGCAGGTATCTGTATGATCTGATTTGGAAATTGAGAAAAGGGCAGTAGAATAATTTCATCAAAAAAGTACCTCTCTCCCTTTGTTGATGTATCATTGCTTATCAATATGTGTATGATATTACTTTTTCCAGACTAAATATTTACTCAAAGTTCAACATTTGCTTTCTAGAATTAATTGGTTATGAGAGGTTTGCAATAGAGTCATACACTTTCTAAAAACTAAAGTAATTGACTTTCTTTTTAGACAATTCGTCAAAAATTCCCCCTCTTGACGACCCGGCGTCTTGGAACAAGAGGCCATTCAAAGTAAGACGTGCTGATGAGCACATACCAGATCTTACATATGATACTCTGCACATGAGGACTGACACAATGTAAAATAAGTATTGTCTTTATCAGTGATCTGAACTAGGTATTCTTTTTTTCGGGAGTGGGGAGGTAATTAGGTTTATTTATTTTAAAATTCTTTTTAATGGCTGTACTGGGAATTGAACTCAGAACCTTGTACATGCTAAGCTCACACTCTACCACTGAGCTATACCCTCCCCTCTGGTAGTCTCTTCTTGATAAAGGAGACTTTTTACCAACAGTGAGAACTAAAAAGAAAAATAAGTGGATTTTAGAATAATGTTTAAAAAGCAAAATTTACACAGAAGAATCACAATATATTATTTTTTTCTGATAAGGTAATTTAAATGACTCATTTGCATAATCTTAAAGCCACTGCTGAAGGTACCACTGACTGAAAGGGAAATGCATGTGGCTCCACAAGTGATCAGACAGAATCCACAACACCTCCAAAGAGCAAGGCCAAAACCGGGGGTTGAAGCGTGTTCCAGAGTCTTCCTCTGGTTTTCTTTCCCAGATAATAATCCCTGAATATTCCCTTCTTTTCCCTTCAAGACAAATGATATGCACAAATGACTCAACAGAAATATAAAATAAGCAGTCAACATATTCTCTCTTTGTTTTTTACTTTATGAAGTATACTCAGTTTACAATGTTCTGTCAACTTCTGATGTGGCGAGATTTGCAGATACTAATATATATATAATAGATAAATAAGTTCATACTGTAAAGCACAGGGAACTGTATTCAATATCTTGTAGCAACTTACGGTGAAAAAGAATATGAAAATGAAATACAGGTATGTTCATGTATGACTGAAGCAGTATGCTGTACACCAGAAATGGACACATTCTCCCTCTTGATAGCTTCAGCTTTTCTTTTCTCCTGTGGCAGTCTCTGTAGAACCCCCAGTTACAGGTTCCTGTTCATCCAATATTTCTACTGTCTGCTGTATTTTTAGTTTTTCCTTTCCTTCTGCCTACAAACATATCCAGATCTCTTCTATGTTGACAAAAATAAAATCATCTCAAACCTGCTGTACTCTTCATGATTGCTGTTATTTTTCTTCTCTTTGCTGTTTCTTGAGAGTAGCTGTCTGCTCACTTCCCTTCCCACTGATCACATGCCTCTGTCCTAGTCCATTTCTTTACCTGGGCAAAAACTCAATGGTTCATTTTTATTGTTGCTCATCTTCCTTGGCACCTGTCGAGCATTTGAACCTGCTGATAATGCCCTCTTAAAATAAATGAGTACATAAAACTTTCCCACTGCTTCTCTGTCACAGCACTACCAAGTCCTCTTCCCTCTTCTCCCACTAATTTTCTAGTTTGTCTAGTGTCACATTCTGCCCTAACACCTAGTTCAGCCTTGTCGAAAGAAACATAATGGGGCCATATATTTAATTCAAAAATTGTTAATAGCCACATTAAAAAAGTAAAATGAAACAGGGGAAATTATTTTAATATTTAAGCTAACAAATCCAAAACATTATCTTTTAACTATATAATAAAAATTGAAAGTATTAATGAGATATTTTACATTCTTTCTTTCCTACCAAGTATTTGAGATCTGGTGTGTATTTTATACCTACAGCATATCACTATTCAGACTAGTCACATTTCAAGTGCTCGGTACCCACATGTGACTTGTGACTCTTCTGGTGGCTGGTCAGCCTTAGACACTTGCCAAAACATAGGTCCTACTCTGTGAATTCTCTTGAATCTGTCTCTCTCCATTTTCTCACTTTCAAAACCTGGCCTTGACTCTGGCTTTCCAGTCTACTCAATTCAGTTCTTCGAAATTGACCTTCTAAAGATCAGATTCAGTCATATGAGTATCATCCTCAGACACTTTCACCTACTCAAGACAGACTTTTCTCACCTTAACATTCAAGGTCCGTTATGATTTAGTCCCACCATTGTCTTCCCTTATCTCTACTTCTCACTTTTCAGCATGTAGCCTATGCCCTCACCAATTTATTGCCTGGTGCACTTTGCTTACCTCTCAGCCATCATTCTTTTATTATGCTGTCTTCCTCCATGGAAAATGTCCTTTCCCCTGTAGGTATGTTGAAATCCTGTCCATTTAAAAGAATGTCTCATGAACTTCTTCTTCTAGTGAATCTTTTCTGAGCCTCCTAATTTATTGTAGGCTTTTTCTTTGTGCCCTCATAGCAGTTTTTGGTACCTGTCTTCATGCAAAATTATCTCCTCCCCTCAAAAGATCATATTTTGAGTATAAAGACTTTGTCACACCTATTTTAATATTTCTTCCGTGGTCTGTTACATAATAGATTATCAGTTAAAGTCTACCTAATTAATTCCTGTTCATGTTAACAGTATTGTGGCCTGAGAAATGAAATGCCAGGTTGAAAAAGGCAAAATTGGCTTGTTCCTTCTAACCAAGTCAGCTTTTTTCAAAGCAGAATCAATTTGACTGGCTAATTTCGACTGGATTTGATTCCTACTGAATTGAGTGGGTAGAGAAAAGATTAGATAGTGTTTGAAGTAGATAGATAGTAGAAAAAGAGGCAAAGCAATGCAGAGAAATCCTCTTCACAGGATCTACAAGGGGACAGGCAGGCAGGCTGCAGAGAAAGTCAATTAATCCTAGAAGGAGCCTTTAGGATTAGGGATGAATCATTAACTTGTCCATTGTGACACAGTGAGGCTCCAGTGAGTGGGTTTCTGTAACAATATGTGGTGACTTCAGGCAATTTGTCTGATATCTAAGAGCAGATGTGCCCAAGAGCACAGCATTAACAGTTCGAATTTTTTCCTACCTTCCTGATACGGCATTTGCTTTGTATAACTTGCATATTAGATTTTTGGTATTTTGCTATCATGGGGAAAAAGAAATTTTCCATATGTAAACAAAGTACAGCAAGATGCAGAGTTTGTGTATTTCACAATTGGTAATGTACTGATGTAATTATTCTTAGCAAGATGGTTTTCTTGTCTTTATTTACTTCCAAGAAATTTCCTTAGATTTTTTTATCTAGGAAGATAGTATATCAAAAGGCAGCCTTGCCTAGTGGTTAAGAGCATGAAGTTTAAAGTTGGACAAATTTGAGCTTTAATCTCATGCTCCCATATGTAGCTAGATGAATTGTTCAGCTTTTCATCAATAAGTTGGGTATGCCATTATCTATCAGTTTTGGTGTGGGAATTAAATGAAATAAAATATCGGAATGAATGGAGACATGAATGTGCTTTCAACCTCCCTGTCTGTAATAATACGAAATTAATCACTTAGTGCATCCAAAAATCAGCAGTGCAATTAAAAGTTATTATTTATTGAGCACTACACACACATATGTGCACACACACGCACAACACACACACCCTCTCTTATCCTTACAATGACAATGCAAGCTTGGAATTACTGTGTTTTACAAATGAGGAAACTACAGTTTAAAGATCATTGACTTTGCCAAGGCCATACTATAAAATAACAGTGTTGGGATTTAAATCAGGTTTAGCTGGCTCTAAAGATTGTGCTTTGTCAAACTAGTAAATACTTCTTTCTGATATCCATCATATCAAGAAAAAATTGTGTAATTGAACTTTTGATTTTTTGAGGTATAAATTTTATTTTTTTCCTATCTGAGATTTTTAAACATTTATTAATATATTAGATTCTTCTTTAAAGAGCTAACATTTTCTCAAGCATCAATCATAAGGCATTTTAAGTTATTTTATATTTACTTAGAGATAATATTTATGTTTTTATAAAAGCAAATTTATAGCACAAACACAAATTTTTTTCTGCTTTTGATTTTTGCCTGCAATGCTCTCTGTGTTGGTATATGATCTTCACAATCATCATTTCTATTGAGTATTTAATGTTGCAAAAATTTTAATTTTATGAAAAATATTTTTATGTCTATAGAAATATGAACAACTGATGAAACACAAAAATATAATTGAAGAAGTAAGCATACTTTGGAGAAACAGGAATTTATAATTTCTCCCAATTTTACTAGTAAATTTGCAAAACTTTTTATTGTTGTAGTTTTTATTATATTGCCCCAATCACTAAATTTCCATTGAATTATTCCAAAAATATAAATAAATTTGGTATTAATTTACCTATAAATAAATAATAAGCTCATCTCTCCATCCCTTCCTTCACTCTTACCATCCCCTCGCTGCCAGGAAAACCAACAACCCCAATGGCAAATTCTACACATTCTCGATACCAACCAGGATAAAAACTGACTTTGCTTTGTGTTTTCTTTTCTCCTCTTTGATTTACCACAAATGCCAATAATATACCCTGATTTTTCTCCTGTGCAAAAATTTTTAATTTAGATTTTGAATAATAAAAATGAAACAAAATCTCTAGATACAAAAAAGCATCTAATGAAAAGTAATTCTTGCCTAATTTGTGTTGTGAATGAATTATAGCAAGGATAATCAATCCATTCATTTTTATATGGATGTACAAAGCATGGTGCTAAAGAATTTTTGAGGTGCAAAGAATAGTAAGATAGGGTACACGTCAAAAAACTTTCACTATTAATATTCATTTATTGAAATGGCATTTTTCTGAGTATCCTGGTGCTGACTAAACCCTAAAGAGACAACGATTAGCAAAAGAGCCTGTGGCCCACCCTTGCTCACAATGGCTCAGCGGGGTAACGGAGAACACGGTTGAGCCTATCGAGTAGATTTCATGAGATGTCACACATACGGTGAACTGTTTGACTTGAAGTTACATTTTAATTTCTTGTAGACTTTGATCAGTCAAATCTTGGTTTTCAGACATGACGGACAAAAGCTATTATCTTATTTATTAGTGGTGATTTAGTGGGTTAATAAAACTGATATGGCAGCTGCTCTTATCATAGTAAGTTATTGCAAGTCCCTGAACAGCTTAATCCCATCATTTCCTTATCAGTTATCATTTGTGTAATGTAAACTACCATCAGGGCTACTAGCTCAGTGGGAACATAT